TCAAAAAGTTAAAAAGTTAACACTATTTACCAAAAAGTCAACAATTACGGCTGCACAACTCCCAATCTTATTGTCATGTATGGCACTTGATAGCGTCACGAATAGTGCCACTGAAAGGTTTTAGTCTTGATGGTGTAATGACACTTACAAGTGTCACTAACTCTTTTTTTAATGGCGCTTGATAGTACCACAAATAATATCTACCATGACATTAAAATGTCATTGAAAGTTTTCAACCATGATGGTGCAGTGGCACTTGCAAGTATCTACCGTGGCACCGATAGAAGTGGCACTTGTTCAAAATGCCACAAGACCAAAAAATGTCATTAGAAGAATAGTTTTGTGGCACTTTCAAATGTCACTAAACTAAGAAAATGTTGTAGTGACATATTTTTCTAAAAAGTTCGTCAATATATATAAACTATTTGATGATTTTTTGTATATTATTTGTTATTATGCTGCTTGTTTAAACAATCATTTTGTGTTGCCGTTAAACAATTGGAATAGTTATTTTTTTTCTTTCGATTTTTTTTCATGTTTATAGAGTGAATATTCACATTGGTATGAATTTAGTTTTTTTCAGACTAGTTGTAAGTTAATTGTAAATTGTGAACATTCACATTTTATTTTTGAATGAATTTTTTTTTAAAAAAAAATTTCAAAATTTAGTTGTATGTTTGTTGTTTTTGTTACTATACTTGTTGGTTGAACAATTATTTTTTTTATATTGAACAATCTAAATAGTCGATTTTTACTTTTTTTTAATTTTGTTTTATATTTCACATTGCAGTGTAAATGTTCACATTAGTATGATTTTATTTTTATTTTTATTTTTTTAAGGCTAGTTGTATGTTAATTGTAAATTATGAATATGCACATTATATTTTGATATAAGTTATATTTTTTCGAAAGTTAGTTATATGTTTGTTGTTTTTGTTAATATGCTTATTGGTCGAATAATCATTTTTGTTATCATTGAATGAATTTCACTTTTTTTTACGTTTTAGGGTAAATTATGCAAATGGTCCTTATAGTTTACACGATGTATCAATTTACTCCCTATTGTTTCAATTTGGTCGATTTTGCTCCTTAATTTAACGGATTGTCTCATTTTAGTCCAATAAATAACGGTTGTTAATTTTGGTAAACAAAAAGTCTACATAATGTGTCAACTTGATCGCTGTAGTTTACAAAGTCTGTCAATTTGGTCCATGTTGTTTTAATTTGCCCAATTTTGATAGGGACCAAATTGACATATTATGTAAACTACGGGGACCAAATTCACACATAGTTTGACTTTCAGTCCACCAAACTTAACAACCGTTATTTAATGAACTAAGATGACACAATCCATTAAATTAATGGTAAAATCGAGCAAATTGAAACAACATGGACTAAATTGACACATCGTATAACTATATGGACTATTTGTATAGTTTATCTTTTTTTTATATGTTTTCACGTTGCAGTGTAAATGTTTACATTGGCATGAGTTTATTTTTATTTTTTTTTAAGGCTAATTGTATGTTAAATGTAAATTGTGAACATTTACATTTTATTTTGGCATGAGTTTTATTTTTTCAAAGGTTAGTTGTATATTTGTTGCTTATTGTGAACATTCAAATTGTACTTTAATATGTGTTTTGTTTTTTTGAAAGTTAGTTCTATATTTGTTGTTTACTGTGAACATTCACATTGTATTTTCATTTTTGTTTAGATTTTTTGTTACATTATTTTTAAAATTTTCGCATTATAAAAGAGTTGAAAGTTCATAATTTGATATTTTCTCTATAGAATAAGGAAGAGATTTTTCCTTAGAATGAGGGAAAGGTTTTCTCTATAGAATAATGGAGAGATTTTCTCGTTAGAATGAGAGATAGATTTTCTCCATAAAATGAGATACTATTATTATTTTTTATTGTGTATTAGTTTTGAAATCCAAACGTGTGTAAAAAATTAAAAGAGTAATTTGGTCATATTACATTAAATAGATCTAATGATATACTTTTAAAAAAAAATTAAAAAAAAAAAAAAAACATTTGGACATCCAATGATGTACTTGGACATATACTCTTACTAAAAAATTTAGTATTAAAATGTAATATTACTCAACCATTTTTTATTATAACCAAAAAGATTACAATGGACTATAATTAGGCTAGCAAATTAACAGAGTCATTCGTGAACAGATTTACACTCGACTCAGTAAGGGTTCGTTCGAACTTAGTTCATTAAATTTTTATTGCGTTTAAATTCGAACTCATTAAAATCTTAATAAACAAATTTAAACATAGCAAAGCTCGGCTCCTTAGCTCGATTCTTTTAATATTTATTTAAATTACAAAATAAATATATTATTTATAAATTTAAATATGTAAATATAAATAATAGCTAAATTTATTTATATATAAATAATAGCTAACCATAGATAGTACGTTTATATAATAGTAATAGTAGACATTATTATTTTGGTAAGATATTAACTTTTCTTTTAACGTGCTTATACATATTGTATATAATTATATAATTGAAATTTCAATTGTAACTTTAGTTTTATACACAAATATGAATTTAAAATTTATTTGGCTCATTAAGGCTTATGAACATGTTGGAGCTTGAGTTAAGCCTCAGCCAACTTGGCTCGAGTTTGCTTCGTTAAATTTATATTAAGTTTGAACTTGTTATAATCTTAATAAACAACGCTAAAAATATTAAAATTCGACTCGATTCATTTATAATCCTAATTAAAACTAAATATCACTTAAGGCAACCAAAATAACAAAACAATAGGTCATAATTAATATTAAAATTAATCAACTAAATGTCATAAAAAATCTAAACTGCCCATACCATATAATTTTTTTGGTCTAGCTTTGGTCCAGTCCACTATCGGACTGGACCGTGTTTTTGGGCCTGTGGGGGCCCACCACGGGTCCCGTTTTGAAAATATGAACCGTTCAATATGTAGAACTCTTCGAATACTATATGCCTGTAAAAAATCACTTTGATTGGATATCGATAGCTATGTGATCAATTCAGTTTTTTGTCAACCGTTAATTTATTCACCGTTCATTTTTTTTATACAAAATTGATTTGATCACATAGCTATCGATATCCGATCAACGTGATTTTTTACAGAAATATAGTACTCGAAGAGTTCTACACATTGAACGGTTCAAATTTTTAAAACGGGACCTGTGGTGGGTCCCCATGAGCCCAACAGCACGATCCAATCCGATGGTGGACTGGACCATAGCCGGACCCTAATTTTTTTTTGGAATGTATATTATAGAATTTCTCTTATTCGGTACATTTTATTTTTTAACCAATTTTTAAATTAGTTTCCTTATTTCATATTATTACTAGGTTTTCAACCCCCAAAAAATAATAATAAAAGAAATAGTTGAGGTCCAGGAAACTTTGGCCCAGTTTGGTGTAGCTGTTAAAACAGTTTATAGATTATAACTTAACAGATTATAGATTATGGCTTTAATTAGAAGTTGTTAATCTGTTTGGTGTACCTGTTGGATTATAGATTTAAGTTGCTGAGCAGTGTTTGTTAAATAAAATTTGACACAACTTTTTCAATTAATTTTTATTTTTTGTTATTTACTACTTGTCTACATTTCTCATAAATAATAATAATAATAATCTATAGTCCATTTGGATTTTTTTCTATTTTTAAAAAAATAAAAAATAAAAAATAAAAAAATCTAAGAGTATAACTATATATTAATATGTGCACAGCAGAAGCTGATAATCAGAAGCAAGGATTGAGTAGCTTCTCAGAATCAACTTTTTTGAGTTAAAATAAGCTGTTAAAATAAAAAACTGTTTGAAATAAGTTCACCTAAATAGTCTAAAATAATTTTTTCAAAACTAAAAAATATAAATTAAATTTAAAAAGCTAAAACAAACGCCCATTTGCTTTCCGCTTTCTATCTTGAGAAGAAAAAATTCCACCCAATTGCAAATGTCTTTAAACATGAAGGATATTAATACCTCCTTCCTTCACTTGTTACAGAGGGAAAGCAAGAGATAGACAGAGACAGAGGGAGAGGCCTCCCAGTGAAGAAGAATGAGGAACACCCAAAAACTCCATTGTTGCTCTACTTTATGTCTCTCCACCATACTCATCATCACTCTCTTCTCAATCCCTGCCACATCTTTCGACACCATCACATCAACACAACCCCTCAGACTCAACCAAACCATCGTCTCCCAAGGCCAAGTATTCGAATTAGGCTTTTTCTCACCTAGTAATTCCATCAAACAGTATGTGTGCATTTGGTACCACAAAATTCAACCCAGAACAATCGTCTGGGTCGCGAACAGAGACAACCCACTCACAAACCCATCTGGGTTCTTGAAGATCAACCAAGATGGCAACATCGTCGTTGTCGATGAATCTTCAAATCTTATATGGTCATCGAATCAAACAATCTCTTCAACCAACAGCAACATAGTCGCACAGCTTTTGGATTCTGGAAACTTTGTTCTTCGCCGGGAAAATGATTTGAATCCTGAGAATTATCTCTGGCAAAGCTTCGATCACCCAACAGACACTTTGTTGCCGGGAATGAAGCTCGGATGGGATGCGAAAACTGGGTTGAATCGGTACTTAACTTCAGGGAAAAGCAACGACGATCCATCGACTGGTGAGTACTCATTCAAGCTCAACATCAATGGCTTCCCTGAGGTTTTTCTGACGAGGAATAAGGTCATACAGTATCGAAGCGGGCCGTGGAACGGGCTTAGATTCAGTGGGGTTCCAGAGATGAAACCCAGAGGCTCGGTTCTCACATTCAGCTTCGTGATGAACAGAGACAATGTATTCTATTCATTCGGATTGACAGACAATTCTGTATATTCTAGACTTTTGATGATGTCGACGGGTGTTCTTCAACGATATACATGGATAGAAACTAGTCAATTATGGAATCCATTTTGGTATGCGCCAAAAGATCAATGCGATCGATACAGAGAGTGTGGAGTTTATGGGATTTGCGATACTAATGATTCGCCTGTGTGCAAGTGTATGGAAGGGTTTGAGCCTAGGAATTTACAGGCGTGGGGGTTGAGAGATGGGCATGATGGGTGTGTGAGGAAGAGGAGATTCAAGTGTGGTGATGATGGGTTTTTGGGGTTGAAGAATATGAAGTTGCCGGAGAGTTCGAATGCGGTGGTGGTGGATTATGAGACAATGAATTTAAATGATTGTGAAATGGTTTGTCGGAAAAATTGTTCTTGTACTGCTTATGCGAGTAAAAATATCAGCGGTGGCGGTGACGGTAGCAGTGGTGGTGGATGTGTGATTTGGACAACGGAGCTGGTGGATATGAGGCAGTACGCGGCGGCGGAAGGTGGGCAGGATCTGTATGTGAGAGTCTCGGCTGCTGATTTAGGTATGTTTAATTTTAATTCTCGTTATGTTTATAATTCTTGTTTGTTTTTATGTTTGAGTTTTGAGTTAGGAATTAGGATTCATAATTTTTTATAATAAGATTTTAAAAGGTAATAAATTAAATTATAATAAAAATTAATATAACTTTTAAAACGACTCAAATCTTAAACCACTGACTGCCGAGAACAGCTGCATGCACCACTATTTTTCTCCTGTTTTGTTCATAGGAGAACGATAGGACAAAGCAATGCATGTCTTGACTCAGTACTTAAGCGAGTCAACTCAATCACAAAGTTTAATTGGTGATTTAAAAAATATAAAATTTTGAATTAGGTTTATCTTTAAGTTTAAATTTGAATTTTACGGACGTGTTTTAACTCATGGTACTCAGCACAGTGCCTACACGTGTAGTGTGCCGGTTGGGCCTACCCACCCTATTTGTTCCGTGATCAACTCATTTTATAGAGTTTTTTTTTTAAATATATATATTATCTTAAAAAAATTACTTATCATTTATTTCTTATTTTATTTTTATTTTATTGAATTTTAAAAAAAAAAGATGATAGTTTATTTTTAAAAATATATTTGTTATCTATTTTTTTGAGACAAATGCGATAAAATGAAAAAGTTGCAATTATCGGATCGAGCTAATTTATTTTTCATGAATAGTATACATTAAGAGCCTTATAAAATGAATAGTTTGAATTATCAAAACAAGACCCATAATGGTCTCACGGGCCTCTTGACTTGAGATGTAAATTTGAGCTAAGGTCAAACATAACCAAAAATCTAGTCATAACCACAATAGAACATAACTAACACCATAATGAGTTATAAATAAGTCATAACTAACACCAAATATCACTTGTGGCATAATTAAAAACCTCTCATAACCGAAATAATAACTACAATAGGCCATAATTAAGTCATTACTTTTTATTCTTTTGTCAAAAAGGGTTGAAATACTCCCGATGTAAGTCACCATAAGACAATCTTGAGGGTTGTCCTGAATGATTGGTGGGTATGCTCCTCGTACAATTGTTCAGGGTTCAACTTTTAAGGTTAGGTTATAAAAAAGAAATTTCTTGTGAATTCCTTAGTCCCAGCATGAATGTCTTGACTTTGACCGGACTAAGAAGGAGATAAGTCGAGGTGCCTGTAAACCACCCCAAACCTCCCTTACCGTTGAACCCAAAAATAAATAAATAAAATTTAAAAAATCACCATTAGACACTTCCCATTTGGCTTTTGGTGCCTTGTTT